TTTTGGGCACACACACACTTGGGCCCAGTGTGAAGTTCTTTTTTTTGGGGGGGATGTTTTTGCTATAGGGAGCATGCGCTCACCAGAAAGACAGAGCGAGACAGAAAGCAAGAAATCATCCCCCAGAGGGGATGACCACGCCACATCCCTTCTCTTCAATTCTCCTCTCGGGATCTTGGGCATGTACACACATGCGCCCAATGTGAGTTTAAGCCACTGGATCCAAGACTGGAACCACAGTTGTCTAGTGACATAGCCATTATGGGAGTCTAGCGACATAGCCATTACATCAGCTGCTGGTCCCTCCCAGCATGAATGTCAAGCCTTCATTCTCCTCTTGGGATTTTGGGTACTCATGCACACATGCCAGGACCAGGACTCAAACTGCGGTCAGCCATGTGAGAGTCCAGTGATGTAACCATTATGCCATCTGCTGCTCCCACCTTTTCCTACTTTTAAGTCTTACACAGGCAGCAAGGCAGAACTTTCAGGTGGCAGGTGGCTGGGTGCTGGTATCTGTGTTCTCTTACTGCACAGGTGTACGTATAGGCTTTGAGACCAAAAAAAAAACAACAAAAAAGGAATTTTCCAGCATATCCAAAAGTGGAGAAAACAGTATAATGTGTGCATATTACCCATAACTCACTCCAGTACTATCAACACCTGGCCATTCTTTTTAAATCTCTCCCCCATCCCTCCCTATTTTTTAAAATTTTTATTATTAAGCTTGATTATTTTAAAGCAAAACCTAAATATTACATAATTTCACCCATAAATAACTTTAGTGTGGATCTCTACAGCTAAAGCTTTAAAAAAACATAATCACAGTGTCATTACAACACATATAGCATAATTAACAATTTCTCAATATTCCATGTGGTAGTGTGCTTGGGCTATCATAACAAAATATCATACATAGGGCGTCTTAAACAAAGTACCATAGATGGGGTGTCTTAAACAAGAGAAATGTATTTCTTACAGTTCTGGAGGCTGGGAAGTCCAAGATCAATGAATGTGTCAGTCTATTCAGTTTCTAGTGAGGGCCCTCTTTCTGGCTTGCAAATGGATGTCTTCTTACTATGTCCTCACATGGAGGGCAAAGAAAGAGCTCTCCAATGTCTTGTCATTTATTATTATTATTTTTATTGTTTTAGAGAATTCTTGGGGCCGGCAGGTGACATAGTGGTTAAGGGCGCTGGACTCCCACATGGCCAACCATGGTTCAAGTCCCGGATCTGGCGGCTTGCTTTCTCTCTCTCTCACTCTGTCCCTTTCTGGTCAAATTAAAATAAATAAATAAACAAAGTTAAATAAACTAATTTTTTAAAAAGAATTCTTTAATTTTATTGTTATTCTTTAATTTGCTATCGGAGATGTGCACTCATGAGAGAGAGAGAACAAGAGAGCAAGTTGCCAGGTCCAGAACTCGAACTATGGTCAGCTATGTGGAAGTCCAGCACCTTAACCACCATGCTACCGCTTGGCCCCTCTTCTTTTTTAAATTTGTCAGAGGGCACATACATTTGCTTGAGAGAGAGAGAAAGAAAAAGTGAGAGAGCATCTCTCCAACCCATGGGAGGATGGTCACACTGTAATCCCTTTACTTCCACTTCTCATTGCTTTCAAAGTTTTGGGTGCATCCACCCAGTGTGTTTTCCAAGCTGCTGGGTCTGGGACTTGAACTGTGCAGTTGGCCCTGTGGGATTTGGTTGTCACAACCACTATGCCACCAGCTAGCCTTGGTATCTCTTCTCATTACACTAATCATTAGATTAGGTCCCCTCCCTATGACCTCATTTAACCTTTCTTCTCCTAAAGCAGTCACGTTGAGGGTTAGGGCTTTAACATATAAATTTTGGGGGATCAGCAGATGGTGTAATGGTTATATCGCTAGACTCCCATGTTGTTGACCACAGTTTAAGTCCTGGATCCAGTGGTTTAAAATGCTGGGTGCATGTGCATGCATGCCCCAAATCCCAAGAGGAGAATGGAAGAGAAGGGATTGAAGAGAGGCCATCCCCCTGGGGTGTAATTTCTTGCTTTCTGTCTGTCTCGCTGGTGAGCACACACATTTTACAACAAAAAGCTCTCTAAATATATTTCTTTCTTTCTTTTTTTTTTTTTTGGAGAGGGGTGTATGATGTAGACTGCTACATTCCCTAAAACCTGATCTGTGTTTAATATTGCCCAATTGTCCCCAAAATGTTTATTTGAAGTTTTTATTATTTGTATGAGAAAAGGGGGGAGGGGAGAATTACCTCCAAGACAATCTTCAGTCCAAAATCTACCCCCAGTCTAGTTGGCCCAGATCATGCGCACATGCATGTGCACCCGGCCTGTTGAGAGAGGTCCTAGCACGCAAACTCAGAACCCTTCCCACACAGGTCTAGTTTCATTACTGCTGTGCCACCAACTGGCCAAAATTTATTTTTTATAGTTGGTTTGTTTGACTCAGGATCCAAATAGAGTTCACATATTACATATGACTGATGTCTTTTTTAAATTGATAACAGGACTTGAACCTCATGGTTGGCCATGCAAGATCTGACACCTCCAACCACCAGGCCACAGGACCAGCCTGAGTCATTCTTTTTCTTTTCTTAAGGCTTTTGACATAGGGCATGTGCCCTTACTGGAGAGACAGTGAAAGAGGGAAAGTGAGAAATCATCACCCAGGTGGAATGGCCATGTCTCAAACCCTTCCTTTCTATTCTCCTCCTGGGATTTCAGGCACACACACATACGTGCATGTGCGTGTGCACACACACGTGCCTGGCATGAATTTCAAGCCAGGTCTGGAACTCAAACCACAGTCGACCATGTGGGATCCAGCACCTTAACCACCACGCCACCTGCTGGCCCTCTTCATCAGTTTCTATAGTAGCCATGATTTCTTCCACATCTCCCAATACCGTGGTTAAGTATTGATCATGAGCATGTTACCTGCCTCAAAGTGCTCAGTTACTTCTCATTTTCACGTAAATTTGTTTATCCAGGCTAAGCCTGGTGAGATCCAGGGGCTTCCCTACAGAGCTGGTAGTTTGCTGCTGGACCACTTCATTCACTATATTGCAAACGCTCTGCCTTTTTCCTATTACTATTATTTTAAAGAATTAGTTTTTTTTTATCATTGTTATTACTTTTTAAAATTTGCTACATGATATGAAAGAGAGAGAAAACCATCAGTTCCACGTCTGAACTGTGGTAAGCCATGTGGGAGTCCAGTACCCCAACCACCACACCACCTGCTGGCCCTTTGCTATTATTTTTGAATAGGCGAACATATACACTACATGACATTCACAAAGCTCAAGGAATGGAAATGAAAAGCAAGGCCTCCATGCTATTTCTCAGTTGCCCAGTTCTCCTGCAACCCCCTGCTGCCCAGGGGCAATCCCGTTTCCTCCCAGGGACATGGCATACTGATGTTTGAGGACCACCTTTGTACTTACCGGGTAGGCCAAGATAGGTCTCTGTACTAACAGCCACATTGCAGGTAAGACCACCATTCAAGGCCGAGGGCCGCAGATGTCCGGGACTCCTGCTATAACTGCACCTGCTGTTTCTAGGACCTTCCAGTCTGCACCTTTCTGGCCACCTTCATATAGGAGGTGGCCTCTGTGCCCGGCCTCTTGTCACAAGCAGAGGTCAGGAATGGATGGGTGGGGAGGGGAGGGTGAGACAAGTGAGGATGCAGAGAGCTAAGACGGAAGGGTCTAGGCAGAAGCTCAATGTCCCACCTTTCGACTTGAATTTCTGATTATTTATAGTAACCATCAACTTTTCCTTTTTGGATAGACTCCTAAAAAAGCAGTGATATTGAACCTTCCTGGGGTCACAGACAACTCTGGGAGTCCCCTGAAAACTCTGGTTGTTCTCCTTAGGAAAATGCACAGGCAGGTAAACCTCCACTACTAACTGCCGCGGGAGCTTCCCGGACCGCCCGCCTACGCAGGAATACCCAGGAGCTCGAAGCGACAGCTCCACTCCAACACGAGTTCCTGGTTGTAATAAAACGCTTGGTTTACAAAAACTCTTCCTATATTCGTTTAGAGAACCTGAAGGATGTCACCACTTGCTGCGAAACGCCCTGGCATAAACCAGAAGCCAGCTGGCCCAGGAGGCGGCGGAGGCGGCGGAGGCGGTGGCTTGGGGCCGCCGCTCTGGGCGCCACGGGGAGGACCCACAGACAGGTAATGGCTGCCCTGAGGGTCGGGGCGGACGTTCTTCTCAGTCGTTAGGGCCACCCAGCTGGACCCTTGTGCTTTGGGCGCCTGGTGTGGGTTTCGAGCGCTGCACCTGCACCCCGTCGCTCCTTCCCTGGGCTGCGGGGAGCGGACCCACCCCAGCTGGGGCGAGGGCGCAGGGCCCGGCGGGTAGAGCTGCACTGGGAGCCGGCGGCTCGGCATTTATCATTGATCCCCGGCGCTTGGCACGGGCTGGGCCGCCGGCAGGGATGGAGG